AAAGTGCAAATATTCATCATGTCAAGTGCTAAAGACCTACTGTGGTGATGCAAAGAAAACACATTTTTGAAATGGCTGGTGCTCACATTCTGAACAAAGCAATTCAATAGGTGGATTTGTCCAAGGTCAAACATATCATAGATTTTTTTTATGTGACTAGACCAGGAACAATCAACTGCTGATAGTTATGGTATGACATGCTCAACAAAATGAAATAAATCACATTATCACTAATTGTTAGATTCACTTACTGCATTGCACAATCATGTGATTTAATTATTTGTTTGAATTTTGCTCTGGGTCAGGCATCAAGCCAGTTTTTGCCATTTGGAAACCATAGTTTAAACTGAGTTTTGGGCAGTTATACCTTATACAAGGCTCCATTAATAAAACAAACATAGCTTAGTCTGTTGTAATTAATGAGTAGTTTTATGTAGAACCCAACGGGTTTTGTTTTTTGTTGCTGTCATACAAATTCATCCTGTTTGTAGTCAAAAGAGGGGCACTCATATACTGATTGATTCTGACCTGTTTTCTGGTCAACTGATTCGATTGACTTTAACAGAATTATACTGTTGGAAGGGACCTTAAAGATCTTCTAGTCCAAAATGGATGTGGAAATGATTGTGAAATAATGAATGGACGCTGGACACCTGGGACAGTGGAAGACCTCCAGGCCAGAGGTGGTATTAAGCAGGTTCTGACCAGTTCTGGAGCACCAGTAGTGGAAATTTTGAGTAGTTCAGAGAACTGGCAAATATCACCTCTGACTGGAAATTTTACAATATTCTTTCCCTGCCACGCCCACCAAGCCATGCCCACATAACCGGTCGTAAAAAAAAAATTGAATCCCACCTCTGTTCCAGACACACTAAGCTACGTATTGTTTAACTCTAAAAAATAAACCACAGTTGTGTTCACCTAACATACCAAATAAAACCAATTAAATTACTGGTTAGTATGTTTCTAAGGCCCTTCAAAATAATACTACAGGATTATGTCTATGGAGAATCTCTGTCATCCAGGTCATGGTTGTCCCAAAGGTATTTTTTCAAGACACACCTAGACTTTCTGGTTTTTCTTTGAAGACATTTTACCTCTCATCCAATAAGCTTCTTCAGCTCTAACTGGATGGTGGAGAATGGAAGATTTTATGTTCTTTGAAGACAGCTAGTCATTTGCATTCAGGGATATGCAGGGGTGGGATTCAAATTTTTAGCAACTGGTTTTGTGGGCGTGTCTTAGTTGCTGGCATGGCTTGGTGGTCATGTTATTGGCTGAGTGTGGCCAACTCAATATCACTCACATCAAGGCACGCATCTCCTCGCCTGGCCTCTCATGACTGTAGGGATGCTGCAACAGTCGTAAGTGTGAAAAATGGTCATAAGTCACTTTTTTCAGTGCCATTGTAAATTTGAATGGTCACTCCACACAAGCAAAGTACCAGCAAAGGAGGGGAAAAAAAACTCCAGATAAGTTCCTGAAACAGGAAGTCTAGTCCTACCAAGAATGTAATAAGGGTTAACGGAGAGACTGTTTCTGTAAGCAACACCAGAATGTTTCCTTCCTGCCTTCCTTACAGGATTAGTCCAGTAATTTCTTCTAACAACCATTTCTCCGAACTGCTTAGAATATTAACAACCGGTTCTAGCAAATAGGTGTGAACTGGTAGAATCCCACCCCTGGGGATATGCCATCTCCAGTCCACAACAGTCCTTTCAACAGTTCCAAGAAGGCACCACACCCATTTGCACTACTCAGGTGACCTTGACAACACAGAAGAACCTCCAGGTGGACTCAACTGTCTGCAAGGAGTTAACATCCTTCCATTTCCCACTATCCATTCAGAGCTGAAAAAGCTTCTTCGATGAGAAGCAAAACAACTTCAAAGAAAAATCAGAAAGTCCAGTTGCTTCTTGAAAAAGCACCTTTGAGGCAACAGGATTATTGTAGTAAAATAAACTTTGCAAAATAATCATTGAATAGAACTTTACAAAACAATTACTATTGAAATTTGCCTATGAATGATCATGACTGATCTCTCAGTGGTTAATCAATTAGGGTTTGGTTAATTAATCTATCAACCCAAACAACCTGTGATGATTGGCGATTAGAATTGCTAATCAAAAGTTGGAATTGGTGGGGTTGGAAGGGTCTTGCAGAATTGAAAACTAAATCCTGCCTTTTTAAAATCATTGCCATGACATCACACACTTGCATCAAAAGGATGGAGCTTGAGATGTGATATTCTGATAGTGCTTTTGATTTTGCAATGAAATAAAATTGTGCAGATGATGCTTTTTCAGAGTGAGGGGGGAAAGGAGAGAGAACAATTGGGGTGGTGTAGATGGAATCCTCTTCTAATCCTCTAAGGCAGGGTTGTCAAACACAAGGCCCCTGGGCCAGATTCGGCCCATCAGGTGCTTAGATCTGGCCCTAAAAAGAGCAAAGGACTGGCCCATAGTGCCTCTGCCAGTGAAAATAATGGAGCTTGGGCAGGCCATGTGTGGCCCTCCAGAGCTCTGTTTTCAGAGGTTGCAGAAGGCTGTCGCAGATGAAAACAGAGCTTGGGAGCCTGTTTTCATTGGCAAAGCGCTCAGACCACCATAAGTGCCCCCAATACAAGTGATATCGAGCTGGCCATACTCACCCCGGGCTTCCAAAGTCAAACACAACCCTTATGTGGCTCTCAATGAAGTTGAGTTTGACACCCTTGCTCTAATGGAATCCCAGTCCTAGATCTAAGAAAACCTCCATCTATGACAACAACTCCCAGTTTAAAAATAGGTATATCCAGGGGTGGGATCCGACAGGGTTAACTACCAGTTTGGTCATTTATGAGGTTCGGTGATTTATGATGTGCTTCCCTGCACACTGCTGGCGCCTGCCTGTAAATCATCATCAGCATGCTGCGTGCAGAGAAGCAGCCTTTCAAAAAGCCCCTTTTCTTGCTTTTTAACTGGAGCTGTGCCTCGTAAGGCAGCTGAAGTTGAAAAAAATCAGGAAATAAAGGTCAGGTAAGAGCCCAGGTGGGCAGGTGGGCAAAAACATCAGCAGACCTAGAACCGGTTCTATGTCTGCTGCCCTGCAGAGCTACCGGTTCTACAGAGGTGGACAGAACCGGTAGAAACCTACCCCTGGGTATATCCTTGCCAAGCAAGATATAGAATGTCAGCCATAGATATGCCACAATAATATAATAACCTGTTTTATTATAAATAATAATTGACTTAATCATTTCTTAAATGATAACACTCGGTATCATTTCCACATTCCTGCTATTCATATAACCTCAAATATATGCAAATAACTTGAGGAGAAGAAACAAAAACAAAATTAATTCAGGAAAGTTTGGCAATATCAGCCAAACCCATAAATCCTTGGATTAATGGGATTATGCTTTCATTTTGAAGGAAGAAAGAAAAGTAACAAGAACACCTCCCTAAGCCAGAGGGTGCATGATAAACCCATTAAATTTTGCCACCCATAATTAGTAGTATAGCCATTGTATCACAATGCATTCATCAAGTTTGTTTACTGAAGAATAGAATGAGAACCAGAGCCTTTAATTAAAGCTGACCAAATTGCTGTCAAGAAGAGACTTGCAAGCAGCAATTTCTAATTAAAATGAATTCCCCTAGTAGTAGTGTTCTCTCTGAGTACATCCTTTAAAAGATGGGTTGTAGCTACCAGAAATGCCATGCATATGCCTGATAAAATCTGGCAGTGTTACAGTAATTGGAAGATTGAGTAGCAAAAGCTGAAGAAAATGGTCTGCAAAACACAGAGGCAAATAATTTAGTGTTAGGAATTTATGTTCCTGCTGTTGAAATGGCATCCAAAAGGACGGACATCTTAAGCCAAGAAGTTAAAGTTGATTCCTAAACAACTCTAGGCAGCTCCATGTCATCTTTTGGGGCTTAATTGAGGTCTGGAATTATTTTTAATGAATATATCTAGTCAGACAAAGACAGAACAGTGTGGCACCAATATACAGTATAAAGGCCTGATTCTGAATGGCTTCTCTCTCTCTCATAAGCTAAACAGAACTGATTCATCATATCTTAGCTTACTTGATAAAAACAATGAGGTGATCTATAAAAACATAAATAAATAAACGATGAGCACACCCACCCAAATATCTGACCTGGTGCATTAAAAGCTGAGTATCTTGGGTCATGAGAAAAGGTTTAGGGAACATTGATCTTTGCAATTTTTCAAAAGGCAATAGCAATAGTACTTAGACTTACATATCATTTCATATTCCTTTACAGCACTTTCTGGATGGTTTTCAGCATCAGCATATTGTCCCCAACAATCTAGGTTCTCATTTTACTAACCTCAGGAAGGATGGAAGGCTGAATCAATCTTGAGCCCCATTGGGATTGAAGTCCTGGTAATGGGAAGAGCTAGCCTGTGATACTGCATTCTAACCACTGCATCACCAGGGCTCCTTAAGATGCAAGTTTTCAATCATAAACTTAATGTGATGGAAAGCCTAATAGTTTGTATTGGTTAAGGAAGGAAGGAAGGAAGGAAGGAAGGAAGGAAGGAATCATTGTTGCATTTGAGATTATACTGTCTATCATTAATTCTCCCAAATCTTGTTTCTTCTCTGGGATCCTTGATGCTTTCTGAGCTTGGGTGGTTTTCTTGAAGACATTTCATTAGTGCTAGCAAGAAAATCATCAGAGAGCATTTAAGGGGACCACTTCAACCTTGAGTAACAAATATCCTGTTTCTCCTCTATATTCCCTCCTCAGCTCACTGACACATTCATGAGTAGGACCATGAGGGCAAGTTCAACCAATTGGTTCCATTGCCATTAGTGGTGTCCAAGTATATCCTTTCTTCCAGTTTTGCAGCTTGGACATCACAATGAACCCTGTGTTGGATGATCCTGGCTTGGGGATGCTTTACATTCATTTGCCTTATTTTTTTTTTCTTTTTGCACCTGCAGTTTTTGATCCTAATCTTACATTGCATTTTGTGTGTTCCAGAACTACAAGTTCACCTGTCTTGGGCCAGCGAAGTGCATGGAATCCAATGCTAGCTCAATTCAAATGCAAGGGGATTCTGATTATTTCATCAACCATCTTGGAGTCCCGGCTTTGCAATTTTCATACCAGGATTCGGCCATGTTAGAGGTAAAAACATACTAAACCAATCTTATTTCATTTTTCAACATTATGATTAAATTTCTAGACCAGTGAAACACTGTGGACATAATATATCTCATACTTAGACTTCAGTAAGGCATTTGACAAAGTAGGCCAGTGGATCTAAGGTAGATCTTGAAAAGTTAGAAAAAAGTGGGAAAGATAACATCATAATCAGATGGATTTGTAATTGTCTGACAAACGGTGCTCAGCAAGTAGTCCTTAATGGGTCTACGTCTACATGGAGGGAAGTAAGCAGTGGGGTACTCTTGAATATCTTCATAAATGACTTAGATGAGGGAACAGAAGGGGAACATATCTAATTTGCAGTTGATATTAAACTGGCAAGAATACCCAACATCCTAGATCAGTGGTTGTCAACCAGTGGGCTGCGGCCCACTGGTGGGCCATGAGAAAATTTTGGTGGGCCACAGAGAAATCTCACCCCAAGAGCACCCCTCCAAAGCAATTAATCCAGGCTGCACAGAAACACAAGGCTGTGCCACCCACATGGCCCTTGGGAACCCTCCCCACCTACTCACCCCTTACTTGGTAAACTTACCAGCTAAATTGCTATTTTTCCTTTTTCAGACCATCATCTGGTCTCTGAGCTGGGAGATTTAGATTAGCTAGGAAGCAGAAAATGGTTGGATTTCTTGCTTTCTAACTAGTCTTTAGATCTTCGGCTCTGCTTTTAAGTAGAGCCGAACTTCCTTTAGGACTGAAGGTTTGCTTGCAAGCAAATTCAGTGCAAACTCACGGCAAGCAAATTTGAGCAACTGAGCTGGCCGATGGCAGATAGATAGATCACTGAGTGATTCTGTGAGCAACTCAATCTGCCTGCTTTGCCTGATTTTGGGTAAAAGTTGCTCTTTTTTAAAATAAAAAATTCAATATTTACATGCATGGTGTGTTGTGAGTTAATTTTGTGAGTTTGCTTGCAAGCAAATTTTATGTGACAGACTGAGCTAGCCGATGGCAGATAGATAGATCTCTGAATGAATCTGTGATTCTGTGAGCAACTCAATCTGCCTGCCTGCTTTGCCTGATTTTGGGTAAAAGTTGCTCTTTTTTTTATAAAAAATTCAATATTTACATGCATGGTGTGTTGTGACTTAATTTTATGAGCTCGCTTGCTAGCAAATTTTATGAGTTTGCTTGCAAGCAAATTTTATGTGACAGACTGAGCTAGCTGTTGGCAGATAGATAGATCACTGAATGAATCTGTGATTCTGTGAGCAACTCAATCTGCCTTCCTGCTTTGCCTGATTTTGGGTAAAAGTTGCTCTTTTTTAAATAGAAAATTCAATATTTATATGAATATTTATAATATTTACATACAAGCCATTCCCCGCCAGTCACATGACCACCAAGCCATACCCACAAATTAGCCCATGCCCACAGAACCGGTTAGTGGTCCCTGGGATTTAAAATTATGAGTTTGGTAGTCCCTGAGGTCCAAAAGGCTGAAGACCCCTACCTTAGATGATAGGCTCAAGATCAGAGATGGTATTCAGCAGGTTCTGACCAGTTCTGGAGAACCGTTAGCGGAAATTTTGAGTAGTGGGGAGAACAGGCAAATGCCACCTCTGAAGGGAGATTTTATAATATCGTTCCTCTGCCACACCCACCAAGCCACGCCCACAGAACTGGTAGTAAAAACAAAATTGAGTCCCACCACTGCTCAAGATCCAGGTGGATATTGAAAGACCTGAACACTGAGCCCTATCTAACAAAATGAAATTCAGTGTAGAGAAAAGTAAAGTCTTACACTTAGGACAGGTACACATATAGACTGGATGAAACCAGGCTTAATGGCGGTAACTGTGAGAGGGATCTTGGAGTCTTAGTGGACAACCAATTAAATTAAACCAACAGTGTGCTGTAGCAAGCAAAAAGCCAATGAAATCCTAAGTTGCATTAACAAGGGGATACAATCAAGATCAAATGAGGTACCAATACCACTCTAAAAAAGTTTAATAAGACCACACCTAGAATACCGCATCCAATTTTGATCACCACATTATAAAAAAGATGTTGAGACTCCAGAAAAAGTGCAGAGAAGAGCAACCAGGATGGTTAGGGGACTGGAGGCTAAAACATACGAATGAATGAATGGATGAATGGTTGGTACATAAGCGCACCAACGTGCCTACCGCCCTGTCCTATTGTTTCTTTTTATTTTTCTTATATGTATCCATTTCATGGATTCATAACTATGTTTATACTTTTACCTGTTATCTTATAATCACTTGATTATAACTGAAAAAGAATAACATCCTGTTCAAATGGCTCATTCCAGAGGGAATGTTAATATCATGGCAGGATAAAAAAAATTAAAATAGATAGTATAGAAAAAGCGAGGGAATTTTTTAAACTGTATGTGGTATCAGGAGAAGACCAGAATAGCAATGAGGAAGTAGAAACCAGGAGCCAAGAAGAAGGTTCGGTGGAGGAAAGAGAAATAAACAAGAAGAAAGAGAACAGGAAGAAGTGGAAAGAGAAGGCGTAAGAACGAGATACCAAACAAGAGCAAACAAGCTTCAACAAGTAACAACTACAGAGTAAGATTGCGGAAGAAATCAAATTGATTTCCATTAACATTAATATTGTCCCACTACGAAAAGCAAAATTTATTTTAATACTCAGGATCATATTCAGGACTCAGAGCTCCACACAAATAGCCATCCAGAGATGTTAACTGTGATGGAAATAAATAAGCACATAGTGCTTGGAATTCACAGTATAAATGGAAATCTATTTAAGGGTGTTTCCCTAAAGACATTTAACCCAGAAGCAACATTTTTTTTTCAATATTGGCATTCTCTGCATATGTAGACTTCTAAAATGTTGCAGTAATGGCCATATTGTCTGGAGAACTTTGGAAGTTAAAGTCCACAAATTGGGAGGATAGCCAGAAGGAGACAACTAGACTTTAGTTATTAAACTGCATCATCTGGTGCTCCATCCATATTTCTTACAATATTAAAAGGAAAATCTATAATTTACTTTCTTAGCATGTAGAAAATTGCCAAGTCAGTTCTTGGCACTTCTTGCAAAAAAATAAAATAAATCCTTCCTGAAGTTCATCAAAGATTGATACTATGTATGACTTTGGCATTATTTCATTTAAGATATTTCCTTGTGTAAATAGGTGTCATGAGTAAACATCAAAACTGGGAATATATCTTTGATAAGGTATTCTAAGTCCCATCACTGTCCTTAAGGAAAATGGTTTTTTTGGGAGGGGGGGGGGGGGGGGGGAGGTGCTTTCATTTTTGGAATTATCTGCCAAAATAAAGCAGGATCCTGGAATCCATTCTGTGTTGGCATCTGCACTACTAATTTGCTAATAATTAAATTTCACAAAGGCAGCACTGTCTCTGGATTTGCCAAAAATTACAGTGATTCTTTCTTTTATTTCTCCCCTCCCCACATTATTTAATAAGAAATGGTTCTGCTAATTGAAATGTCCTGTCGTTGGTATATTTTATTTTTAGCAAAAAGACTTTTCAATTTGTGAAACACTGTTGCACCAATTAGGGAAATCATTCTGCTTTAGATTAAATACAAGGCGAAGGTTGTCATAAAAGAAATGGAAAAGCAGATGTTCCCTGATTAAGTGTGCAATGTTTATGACAGGCTTGTGGTCCAAGGCTCATTTCTTCTGTCACTTAACAGCTGGTCTACACAGCTTCTGTTTCAGAATTGGTACTATGTAGGGCATAGGTGAGAATTGGAAGGCTTCAACTTCATCAAAGGAGGAATTTTTTCCTGTAACATCTATCTTGATTGAGAATCTTGAGAATCTTGACATGACAGATGCAAGCAGGGCTTTTATGACATAAAATAGTACATTAAAGAATTCTAAAAGCAATACATAATTTTCATTCATTCACTCATTCATTCATTCATTCATTCATTCATTCAGAGCCAACCAGTTGGTTAGAAGATGGACAGCTATATAAATGATTTTTTTTTTAAAAAACCATCTTTCTTTCTTTCTTTCTTTCTTTCTTTCTTTCTTTCTTTCTTTCT